ATGAAATACATTCCCGGAAGCGTACATATTTGAAACTTCATAGCGTTATATTCCTGAAAAATGTAACATTACAGTCAAAACCACCATAATTTTATTTTTCATTGCAATTATTTAAATTAATAACAAGGACAAGATATGCCTCGTTTGTTGTAACAACATAAGCGTCTTCACATGTACCTTGAGTTCAGATTCTCCTATATAGTGAAATTACAATCTTATGCTTGCGAAAATTATTAGAAATAATTAAAAGAAGCCATGGGATGAAGGGTTACATATAAATAACATAACTTCTCAGACCATAGGATAAAGGGTTACACAGAAATCATGTGTAAGATATTTCCCTTTACATGTCGTCATGCATAAGATATTTCCATTTCTTTGTCATCATGCAACAATGAATTATATTCTAAATCCATCATTCAATAATAATGAGGGATGTCAAGGGAAATCTTACACCATTTTTGTAACAGGCCTTACCATACACAAAGGCGATGAGGGATGTGAAGGGAAATCTTACTTTGTAAGAAAAAATTATGATACCAATCAGTTCAAGACACTCCAAAACACATGAAATAGATAAAAGTTAGACGTGCTTACCTTTGAAAAATCTTCCCTTTCAACATACCAAATATAATAGAATACGTGTCCTCCATGCAATATTCTTTCCTAATAAATGAAAGAGAGCATAGACAAAGTAAATGATAGATATTCTAATATATTAAAATTATAACTGATCCTCTAACCTACTCACTAACAAAACAAAAAGTGGAGTGCATCTAGACGCACATCTGCATTTAATACAATTATTGATAATATATGTTATTCATTAAAGATATTAATTTTTTTGAGAAATTACAAATATTAAATACGAAGAAGAAAACTAATTTAAAATATAAAATTATACCTGAACACAACATGTCTCTGTCTCACCAATTATGTAGAAGTCTCCTACTCCACGTCTATTTATGTCTCTCCCTTTTTCTTCTACGCGTAAGCTCTTTTCTTTAGTTATATTTAACAATGTCATTTTTTATTCTTGAAAGTAGGGTTGTCCTTGTTCGAGAGCATCCACGCCACTGCTTAATTAATACTTGTTATTAATACACTTGTAAGAAATAATTTTTATAAAAATATTATAATACTAAATTGTACCTCAATCTAAATTTGTATATCTTACGTAGCTTTACTTTTGTTCCAATTCTAACTAACCTAAAATGAAAAAGGAGATCAATTAATAAAAGGTTGGAAGTAATAATACCTCAAGATAAATTTGCATCTCTTTACCTGTAATTTTGACTGTGCTTTTGCAGCCAATGGTTAACCTGGTCTTGTAATATTTTGTCTATATCTTCATCATATCGCTTTATCATGTTTGCAGGCATATCTTCTAGTTTCATTTAATTTTTCAGCTCATTTTTATTTGCCTTGTTATTTATGTCAATACATGCTTTGAATACATCGCCGTCAGGAACCAAATCCCATAAAATATGTATTCTCAGAAAATAAATAAATATAGATTAATATTATTTTCACATAATAGTAAATTATACCAACTCATAATGCACAATTATTTAATCAAATGAAATACATTCCCGGAAGCGTACATATTTGAAACTTCATAGCGTTATATTCCTGAAAAATGTAACATTACAGTCAAAACCACCATAATTTTATTTTTCATTGCAATTATTTAAATTAATAACAAGGACAAGATATGCCACGTTTGTTGTAACAACATAAGCGTCTTCACATGTACCTTGAGTTCAGATTCTCCTATATAGTGAAATTACAATCTTATGCTTGCGAAAATTATTAGAAATAATGAAAAGAAGCCATGGGATGAAGGGTTACATATAAATAACATAACTTCTCAGACCATAGGATAAAGGGTTACACAGAAATCATGTGTAAGATATTTCCCTTTACATGTCGTCATGCATAAGATATTTCCATTTCTTTGTCCTCATGCAACAACGAATTATATTCTAAATCCATCATTCAATAATAATGAGGGATGTGAAGGGAAATCTTACACCATTTTTGTAACAGGCCTTACCATACACAAAGGCGATGAGGGATGTGAAGGGAAATCTTACTTAATAAAAAATTATGATACCAATCAGTTCAAGACACTCCAAAACACATGAAATAGATAAAAGTTAGACGTGCTTACCTTTGAAAAATCTTCCCTTTCAACATACCAAAAATAATAGAATACGTGTCCTCCATGCAATATTCTTTCCTAATAAATGAAAGAGAGCATAGACAAAGTAAATGATAGATATTCTAATATATTAAAATTCTAACTGATCCTCTAACCTACTCACTAACAAAACAAAAAGTGGAGTGCATCTAGACGCACATCTACATTTAATACAATTATTGATAATATATGTTATTCCTTAAAGATATTAATTTTTTTGAGAAATTACAAATATTAAATACGAAGAAGAAAACTAATTTAAAATATAAAATTATACCTGAACACAACATGTCTCTGTCTCACCAATTATGTAGAAGTCTCCTACTCCACGTCTATTTATGTCTCTCCCTTTTTCTTCTACGCGTAAGCTCTTTTCTTTAGTTATATTTAACAATGTCATTTTTTATTCTTGAAAGTAGGGTTGTCCTTGTTCGAGAGCATCCACGCCACTGCTTAATTAATACTTGTTATTAATACACTTGTAAGAAATAATTTTTATAAAAATATTATAATACTAAATTGTACCTCAATCTAAATTTGTATATCTTACGTAGCTTTACTTTTGTTCCAATTCTAACTAACCTACAATGAAAAAGGAGATCAATTAATAAAAGGTTGGAAGTAATAATACCTCAAGATAAATTTGCATCTCTTTACCTGTAATTTTGACTGTGCTTTTGCAGCCAATGGTTAACCTGGTCTTGTAATATTTTATCCATATCTTCATCATATCCCTTTATCATGTTTGCAGGCATATCTTCTAGTTTCATTTAATTTTTCAGCTCATTTTTATTTGCCTTGTTATATATGTCAATACATGCTTTGAATCCATCGCCGTCAGGCACCAAATCCCATAAAATATATATTATCAGAAAATAAATAAATATAGATTAATATTATTTTCATATAATAGTAAATTAGACCAACTCATAATGCACAATTATTTAATCAAATGAAATACATTCCCGGAAGCGTACATATCTGAAACTTCATAGCGTTATATTCCTGAAAAATGTAACATTACAGTCAAAACCACCATAATTTTATTTTTGATTGCAATTATTTAAATTAATAACAAGGACAAGATATGCCTCGTTTGTTGTAACAACATATGCATCTTCACGTGTACCTTGAGTTCAGATTCTCCTATATAGTGAAATTACAATCTTATGCTTGCGAAAGTTATTAGAAATAATGAAAAGAAGCCATCGGATGAAGGGTTACATATAAATAACATAACTTCTTAGACCATAGGATAAAGGGTTACACTGAAATCATGTGTAAGATATTTCCCTTTACATGTCGTCATGTATAAGATATTTCCATTTCTTTGTCGTCATGCAACAATGAATTATATTCTAAATCCATCATTCATCGTCATGCAACAACGAATTATATTCAAAATCCATCATTCCATAATAACTCTCCTTCCTTGGCGTCATGCGTTAGATATTCCCATAAAAATGATACAAACTGATAAATTTACACCATTTTTGTAACATGTCTTACCATACGCAAAGGCGTTGAGGGATGTGAAGGGAAATCTTACTTTGAAACAAAAAATTATGATACCAATCAGTTCAAGACACTCCAAAACACATGAAATAGATAAAAGATAGACGTGCTTACCTTTGAAAAATCTTCCCTTTCAACATACCAAAAATAATAGAATATGTGTCCTCCACGCAATATTCTTTTCTAATAAATGAAAGAGAGAATAGACAAAGTAAATGATAGATATTCTAATATATTAAATTTCTAATTGATCCTCTAACCTACTCACTAACAAAACAAAAAGTGGAGTGTATCTAGACGCACATCTACATTTAATACAATTATTGACAATATATGTTATTCCTTAAAGATATTAATTTTTTTGAGAAATTACAAATATTAAATACGAAGAAGAAAACTAATGTAAAATATAAAATTATACCTAAACACAAAATGTCTCTATCTCACCAACTGTGTAGAAGTCTCCTACTACACGTCCATTTATGTCTCTCCCTTTTTCTTCTACGCGTAGGCTCTTTTCTTTAGTTATATTTAACAATGTCATTTTTTATTCTTGAAAGTAGGGTTGTCCTTGTTCGAGAGCATCCACGCCACTGCTTATTTAATAATTGTTATTAATACACTTGTTAGAAATAATTTTTATAAAAATATTATAATACTAAATTGTACCTCAATCTAAATTTGTATATCTGACATAGCTTTACTTTTGTTCCAATTCTAACTAGCCTAAAATAAAAAAGGAGATCAATTAATAAAAGGTTGGAAGTAATAATACCTCAAGATAAATTTGCATCTTATAACACCTCGCATTTCTAAGTTTAAATATTAAAATATTAAATGAGAATTAAAGAGAAGGATTAGTGAAAATCCTGAGTATAAGGCCAAAATACAAAGAAAGGGCAAAACAGTAATTAGCCATGCACACAACCCTAGGAAGATAAAATTGAGTAGAAGGTCTCAGATGATAAAAAGAACCCTGGAAATGGATTCAGAACGAAAAATCGAGTGGATAGGCAAATTTGGGAAAAATTGATGAATAGTGATTTTTCCAGTGTAAAAATGCTGCGGTATAATTGTACCGATAAGCGTGAAATTTTTATCATTATTTTTAGGAAACAAAAATATGACATAAACGAGAAAAATACATAGGTAAGGAATTTGTGGTTGAAATTAGTGATTGATTAAAGTTAAATCGCGTGTAGGACCCACCTATGGCTTAAGTGACTTAAAAGTCACATTTACATGACACATTCTCTCTCCTCTTCTCCCTTCTTCCCCGTGGATCAGCCCTCCCCCTTCCATTTTCGTTTTTTTTATTTGTTTTGTTTGATTTCTTCATAACTTCATCAATTCTTAACCGAATCGGACGATTCTTGTGTTGAAATTCGATGGAAATCACCATCCGAACCCGTTCCACCGATTAGTTTCCCTTGAAACCCTCTCTATGGTGAGAAAAGAGCCATATACAGCCACGAAATTCTTAGGATTTTTGTGATTTTGGGGTTGATTTCTTGAGCCATTGCTTGTGGAGTTCTAGGAGGAGTCTTGTGACGTAATTGTGGGTAAGTTTCAACACCCCTCATGGATTGATTTGAAGATTTATTTTCGAATTTGTTTATGAACCCTAAAGAGGGCTTGTTTGATTTGTGATGTTAGAGAGCTCAAATAGAAAATGTGTATTAGATGATAATGTCTTAGAATGATGTGTTAGAGCTAGAAATGCCATGAAAATTATTGGTGAAAAATATGATTTTGTAACTTAGAAAATTTTGAGGTTGTCATGACTTTGAATTTTGAAAATGTGTTAGGATTGTATTGGTGAGTTGTTGTATGATTATATGTTGATATAATGGGATTGTATGAGGTGTGGAATGGTTAAAATTGGGTGAAAATTCCTTGGAATGGATTATGTGCAATTCGGCCTTTAAAGGGAAATTAAGGAATGGATGTTGTTGGAAATTATTTGAGTGATGTATGATGTGCTAAATGGTACTTAGATGGGTTGTGTGGTGGTTTAAAGGTTGTAGAATCAATGAAAAATGATTGAAGGTGTTAATTGCCATAAAGGATCCTAGAGTAAAATATTAGGCAAAACATTGTTTAAAAGACGTAAAGTGAAAAATGACACTTGGTATGGCCTTTTGGCAACCTGTGGAAGTATAATAAAATGAGAAAGAAAATTTAGAAAAATAATTTGTGAAATAAGCCTTAAGAGGCCGAACCTACAAGGTGTAGGAGTGAAATTTGACGTTTTTTGTATTTTGATGGAATTGCCGTGTACTGACGATTCGTACATGGTTACTGTAGGTTGTCGTACGTCGATTTGAACACCGAACCGTGAGTCGGTGGATTGCCCTTGGTCCTGGACCAAGTGGGATTGAGGTAAGTGGTTGAATCATGCTTGTATTGTTGTAAATTGCATGCATTCGTATGAGTTTTGAGTAATTGGGAACGTCCTATGTGTAGGCGTTCTGTTGAGTAACAAACTTGGAACCTAAGCTGCTGTGGAGCTAAGTGGAGTAACATATTGAGGTAACCTCTTGGTACTGGGGCTTGTTCCCCTTTTCTGTTCCACCTTGCCAGTTGATGGCAACGGTAGGAAGTGTGTATGAATAGTACAGAACATATGAGCATGCATGCATTATTGCTATGGGTACTGCGGTACCGAGTCTCTGGCCAGTAGACAGTTTTAATAGCCTTCGGGCAGTTTCGGACTTCCGCTGGATAGGTCTCCAGGAGGGAGTTCCAGTTGACTGCGTGTCATGGTGTGTGATCCGGGTAGGAGCACACTAGGAATGTCTTTGGCGTTTTGGATGGTTTGGGCATCATGGTTGTGGTTTCTGTGAACACACCTTGGATGATACCCATAGGCTTATATATGCCCAGGGCGTACGTGGAATTGGGGTTACCATCCCGTATCGTCGTAGTTTGTATCTTTATATTCCCCATTTCTCTAAATCCATTGCTTTATCCCGTTTTCAAAGTGGTTGTTTTATTCTATTGATATGCATCGAAGTGAACCATTGGGTGGAGTTTTCTCCAGAACCTCTTGGTTACTGAGATATATTCGTATATCTCACCCCGTCTCGGGGCATTTATTTCAGGAGGTAGCAGTGGAGCCAGAGCAGCGGGCAAGAGGCCCGCAGAGTGAGCAGTGGAGTGCTTCATATTTTGCATTTTGTTGGCCGTGTGGCCTAGGCTAGACTTAGGGCATGAACATCTCATATGTATGTGGGATGAGCTTCATTAGCATATTTGTTCATGCCATTTTGCCTAAGTCTAGTAGTTATGTATTTGGTTATGTTGTCATTTGAATTTAAGTTGTAATATTGGAAGAATGTAAGTTGAAGTTTAAGTTTCAAGTTGTAAGATGTAAAGCAATATTGTAATCGTATTGATGCATGACTATTTATGATGGAAGGGCCTTAGGCCTATTTTAGGGTATGATTACATGTATGATGAAAATATGCATGAAAAAGGTATTAGTGATTGCAACTACTTAAGGATGATTAATATGAACTATATGCCTAATAACTATAAACTGGATTGGGTTGTAAGTGCCCCAAGGCGTTATTGGTCCTTGTGTGTGCCACCCATTGGATTATTACTGTATTATCATGTGATTATTAGGTACATTTGAGGTTTAAATGATTTTTACAAATTTGGGATTATTGAAAAAACAAAGGAAACTCTGGCGAATTTTCTGTAGAATTGGCAGATTTTAGGCAAACTTCGGGAGAGCATATCTCCCTCCATAGAGGTCCAATAGGGACGTGCCATACGCCATTTTGAAGGTTGATATGTCCTCTACCTTGTGTCAAAATTTGAGGCAAATCTGGGTTGATCTTCGGCCTGAAAAAAATGGAGAAACACGGACTGCTCATGTGCCACTGCACCTGAGGCAGATTCTGGACCGGATTTGGGAAATTAATTTCCGCTTCGTTTCTCAGTCAAATTAAGCGTGTGATATATCAAAATGAAGTTTGAGATGTCTAGTTTGTAGGATAAAAATTTGAGAGCAAATGGATGAGTGGATTGAGTGCAGAAATTCGAGTAATGTGTGTGGTTTGGGGCTGTTTTTGGGGTTGTTTGGCTATTTGCTTATCCAACTTCTAACGGCGATAACCGGAGCAAATGAGCTCCGAATTGAGCGTATGATAGCTTGTTGAAAAGGGAATTAAGTAAGACAAAGATATAATCTGAGAAGAGAGTTTGGCTACGAACGGTGTGGTCGCAGAAAAATTAAGGGTGAAACATGTCCGAATTGGTAAAAACGTAAAGATTGGAAATTGGCTAAGTGGGTTTATGGGAACCCCTTAGTAACTTATGATAAGTAATGTAAGTTATAAAAATAGTTTAAATAAGTCTTCCGCAAGAGTTTACGGTTACGGTCACAGCTTTTAATTATTACGCTTTTTATGTGTTAAATGCTCGCGTAATAATCGGAAAAAGTTTATTCGCATTTTTATAAATGAATTGCTGTGATTGTAACTGCGCTTAATATCATAATTAATGTTAACAATACCGGTGTACAACGGGCTGTTACATTTTATGGTATCAGAGCAGTTTTGTTAGGGAACTCTGATAGTGTATAGTTGTGTTTTGTGTTGCATGGTTGTATGTAGATTCTTATCGATTACTGCATATGTGATTCCTTAGTGTGGGTCTGATCATCCCATTCCTTTGTGTTACATGCGTGGTCATCGTAAGAAGCCTGCGTGGCAACCCTGGAGCACTGAATGTAAGTCCTTAGCCTGATGTTGTGGATGCAGTGTTGACTGCTCCATGGACAAGAGATGGCAGTAAGTAAAATACGAATATTAGAGGACTTAAGGGAAAACAGACTTAAATATTTTGTCTGACTTTTAATGAAAGTTAAAAGAAAATTGTATTATAAGTAAAAGTTGTAAACAAATCTATGGTATGTACGGTAGTAGCAGAGGCGAGCTTTGTAGTACTGTGAATAATAAATATATAATTGAGATGAGTTATAGTGAAAAGATAGTATCGGTAAAACTTCCAAGTATATGTGTAGTATAGTATGTACAAGTGAACTTGGTGAATAGACTTCATCAAGGTGAGAGATTTAGAACCTGAGGGATTATTGAGAAATGAGAACAGATATGCTTAGTTACGAGTTAGAATAAGTTATGTTTGACTAGAAGTTATATGTCCCTGATAGATGGTGTACACTTGAATGAATTGGGATGGTTAATGTAGAGAAATAAATGGAATATTTGATATCAGATCCTAAGGGATTGAAAATTTAAAAATTTGTCATGTTAGTGAAGTGTTAAATTGAGAGACATTGAAATATGGCATTGAAATCCATAAGGAATTAGTACTGAGTAAACATAGGTGAGATGAAATAATTATGAAGTATGAGTAAAAGGAAGAAACTGAGAAAATCGCCATGGATGGCATAAGATAAATGTACAATAAAGTTGTGTATTGTATTATCAGTGCAAGGACTGGTGTACAATAAAGTGGTGTATTGTATTATCAGTGCAAGGACTGATGTACAATAAAGTTGTGTATTGTATGATCAGTGCAAGGACTGATATACAGAAAATTGTGAATTGTATCATCAGTGCAAGGACTGATGTACAATAAATTGTGTATTGTGTGATCAGTGCAAGGACTGATATACACAAAATTGTGAATTGTATCATCAGTGCAAGGACTGATGTACAATAAATTGTGTATTGTATGATCAGTGCAAGGACTGATATACAGAAAATTGTGAATTGTATCATCAGTGCAAGGACTGATGTACAATAAATTGTGTATTGTATGATCAGTGCAAGGATTGATATTCAGAAAATTGTGAATTGTATTATCAGTGCAAGGACTGATGTACAATAAATTGTGTATTGTATGATCAGTGCAAGGATTGATATTCAGAAAATTGTGAATTGTATTATCAGTGCAAGGACTGATGTACAATAAAGTTGTGTATTGTATTATCAGTGCAAGGACTGAGGTACAATAAAGTGGTGTATTGTATTATCAGTGCAAGGACTGATGTACAATAAAAATTGTGAATTGTATCATCAGTGCAAGGACTGATGTACAATAAATTATGTATTGTATGATCAGTGCAAGGACTGATATATAGAAAATTGTGAATTGTATCATTAGTGCAAGGACTGATGTACAATAAAATTATAAATTGTGTTAATGATGCACTTAGTTCTATATGATTTGAACAGTAACATGACAGAATAAACTATTAAGAGTTAGGGAATGTGTACGAGATTGTGAAGAGAATATGAATTATTATAATACTGACTATGTTATAAACCAGGTCTGAGGATTAACCAAGAGGAAAGTAAACTATCGGTGGGGAGAATCAAACGAGGAAGTATAATGTATTTACTTATATGTAATATGTGTATATTATACCACTACTACTATTATCATTGGGGGTAGCCCCATGTGAATATACCAAAGATATTCTGCCGTTATATACGAACGTGATACGGACACCAAATAGAATGGGTCCATGTGTGATCTGGTGTGTACTGGGTACACGTTGGTTGTTATATACAGATGTATTATGAATATAAGTTTTCTCTGTGCACTGGGTGCATGTGGTACGACATGATATTATGGATATCTCTGTGTGGCTTATGTGCCAGGAGGGTATGGTTATCTCCGTGTGGATTACGTTCCCGGAGACAATTATTATCTTATATGAGTAATGGGAGACGAGGAAGTGTTCCGCATTGATGTGACTGTTAGTATAGTTGAGTTGATTTATATAAATGCACAAATAAGAAACGTTGGGAATGCTAATAGAATAGGATCAGCAGGTGGTAGGTTATCATTACTGCATGGATCATATGGGTGAATTCTCTAATCGGTGGGTCATTACATCTGGGGCCCTGAGGACAGCAAGAGCTTGAGCGGTTAAACCTGAGAATGTTTTTACCCACTGCATTGGGAGAGTTTTGCCATGTGATTAACGCAAAGTGTGAGGTCATATATTAGTGAGTGGACAATAATATGTCAAATTTGGATATAAGATGTGAGGCATAGTGCGTAAGAGTTTCGAAGTGTGATATTGAAGCACACTATTGTGGGTGTAAAGTAAGTTTGATGTTGTTTTGGTTAGGTACTGATGATGTATGGTCGAGTGCCTGGGGTAGCTTTGAATATTCCGAGAGATTGGTATACCAACCGATGGCGAATTGTAGAAGTAATGGCAATGATGGATTTAGTTTCATATGACCTGATAATTAAGTTTCAAAAAAAAAAAATTCCTGGAGGATGGGACTTGTATGTGAAAGATATGGCATTTTCGAAGGGTCCATCAGGTAATAGTGAAATGGGTTTGGAAATTGATTTGCCAATGTGTGGTGGAAGTTAGTAAAGCGGTGAGGTTATAGTATTTTAAAGTGGACATCCATGATAAAAATGTCGATAATGAGGAAGTGGGGGTATAAATGAATGAAAAATGATGTTGAATCTATAATATTGTTACAGAATGATGAGTAAAAATGGTTACTTGGTGAAAACCTTAGGCATAAGACCTTTGATACGAAAGGCATTGTTGGATGTTGAGTTTAGGCTCTGAGAGGGCTAAATGGATAAAGTTTAAATGGTTAAGTGATAAACAGATTAACAGGGAGTGTAAGTTATAAATGTGATGTTGTAGGTGAAAATATTCACGAATGGAATTGTGGGAAAAGACCTGGAAATGACTGACAGGGAGTATGAGCTGTTGTGAGGATTGTTAGCTTCGTGTCCCAAAGAGAAAGACATAGTGGTGATCATCTAAGAAGGTATGGAGACACGAGACAAAGTAAAGTAAAGTAAAGTATGTAAAAATGAAATGTAAGGCGAGTTGGGATTAGTCGGATGCTATTGCATGCCATTGAAACTAGAAGATATGCGCTTGTGGGCAAGCCAAGAAAGCAACGAAATGGTAAGGTTAGTAACATCAGTGAAAAAGACTGGTACAAAAGAGATGTGGGGTATTGTTGAAACAACACGGACAACGAAAATAGTCAAGTACTAAAGAAAGTGGGAGTTGGAAATACTCCAGGAATAATTAGTAAGTATACATGAGAACAATTGGGGCCTATTATGAAAACGATTAGATGCTTTTGAGAATGACCTTGGGTCAGAAAGATAGATAGAGATGAGAATGAGGTGAATTGATACCAATAAATTTGTAATATGGTTATGTTATTACCTAAAAATCAGCGGAAGTGAAACGGTAAACCAGAGAAAGTTTAAGGTATTGTGAATTAAAAGGTCACAGAACCATAAGAGACGAGTAATTGTGAAGGATCAAAGGATAATGAGTATCATAAAAAGGAGATCATGCTTGTGATAAAAGTAATATGGTAAAGATACACACTTGAGGATGCTACTTGGGAGCTGGAGGATGAGACTCTCCGGCTGTGTCCTGAGTTAGCGGATGATATGAGTTAATTTTGCGGACAAAATTCTAAAAGGTGGGGTGATTATAACACCTCGCATTTCTAAGTTTAAATATTAAAATATTAAATGAGAATTAAAGAGAAGGATTAGTGAAAATCCTGAGTATAAGGCCAAAATACAAAGAAAGGGCAAAACAGTAATTAGCCATGCACACAACCCTAGGAAGATAACATTGAGTAGAAGGTCTCAGATGATAAAAAGAACCCTGGAAATGGATTCAGAACGAAAAATCGAGTGGATAGGCAAATTTGGGAAAAATTGATGAATAGTGATTTTTCCAGTGTAAAAATGCTGCGGTATAATTGTACCGATAAGCGTGAAATTTTTATCAGTATTTTTAGGAAACAAAAATATGCCATAAACGAAAAAAATACATAGGTAAGGAATTTGTGGTTGAAATTAGTGATTGATTAAAGTTAAATCGCGTGTAGGACCCACCTATGGCTTAAGTGACTTAAAAGTCACATTTACATGACACATTCTCTCTCCTCTTCTCCCTTCTTCCCCGTGGATCAGCCCTCCCCCTTCCATTTTCGTTTTTTTTATTTGTTTTGTTTGATTTCTTCATAACTTCATCAATTCTTAACCGAATCGGACGATTCTTGTGTTGAAATTCGATGGAAATCACCATCCGAACCCGTTCAATCGATTAGTTTCCCTTGAAACCCTCTCTATGGTGAGAAAAGAGCCATATACAGCCACTAAATTCTTAGGATTTTTGTGATTTTGGGGTTGATTTCTTGAGCCATTGCTTGTGGAGTTCTAGGAGGAGTCTTGTGACGTAATTGTGGGTAAGTTTCAACACCCCTCATGGATTGATTTGAAGATTTATTTTCGAATTTGTTTATGAACCCTAAAGAGGGCTTGTTTGATTTGTGATGTTAGAGAGCTCAAATAGAAAATGTGTATTAGATGATAATGTCTTAGAATGATGTGTTAGAGCTAGAAATGCCATGAAAATTATTGGTGAAAAATATGATTTTGTAACTTAGAAAATTTTGAGGTTGTCATGACTTTGAATTTTGAAAATGTGTTAGGATTGTATTGGTGAGTTGGTGTATGATTATATGTTGATATAATGGGATTTTATGAGGTGTGGAATGGTTAAAATTGGGTGAAAATTCCTTGGAATGGATTATGTGCAATTCGGCCTTTAAAGGGAAATTAAGGAATGGATGTTGTTGGAAATTATTTGAGTGATGTATGATGTGCTAAATGGTACTTAGATGGGTTGTGTGGTGGTTTAAAGGTTGTAGAATCAATGAAAAATGATTGAAGGTGTTAATTGCCATAAAGGATCCTAGAGTAAAATATTAGGCAAAACATTGTTTAAAAGACGTAAAGTGAAAAATGACACTTGGTATGGCCTTTTGGCAACCTGTGGAAGTATAATAAAATGAGAAAGAAAATTTAGAAAAATAATTTGTGAAATAAGCCTTAAGAGGCCGAACCTACAAGGTGTAGGAGTGAAATTTGACGTTTTTTGTATTTTGATGGAATTGCCGTGTACTGACGATTCGTACATGGTTACTGTAGGTTGTCGTACGTCGATTCGAACACCGAACCGTGAGTCGGTGGATTGCCCTTGGTCCTGGACCAAGTGGGATTGAGGTAAGTGGTTGAATCATGCTTGTATTGTTGTAAATTGCATGCATTCGTATGAGTTTTGAGTAATTGGGAACGTCCTATGTGTAGGCGTTCTGTTGAGTAACAAACTTGGAACCTAAGCTGCTGTGGAGCTAAGTGGAGTAACATATTGAGGTAACCTCTTGGTACTGGGGCTTGTTCCCCTTTTCTGTTCCACCTTGCCAGTTGATGACAACAGAAGGAAGTGTGTATGAATAGTATAGAACACGTGAGCATGCATGCATTATTGCTATGGGTACTGCGGTACCGAGTCTCTGGCCAGTAGACAGTTTTATTAGCCTTCGGGCAGTTTCGGACTTCCGCTGGATAGGTCTCCAGGAGGGAGTTCCAGTTGACTGCGTGTCATGGTGTGTGATCCGGGTAGGAGCACACTAGGAATGTCTTTGGCATTTTGGATGGTTTGGGCATCATGGTTGTGGTTTCTGTGAACACACCTTGGATGATACCCATAGGCTTATATATGCCCAGGGCGTACGTGGAATTGGGGTTACCATCCCGTATCGTCGTAGTTTGTATCTTTATATTCCCCATTTCTCTAAATCCATTGCTTTATCCCGTTTTCAAAGTGGTTGTTTTATTCTATTGATATGCATCGAAGTGAACCATTGGGTGGAGTTTTCTCCAGAACCTCTTGGTTACTGAGATATATTCGTATATCTCACCCCGTCTCGGGGCATTTATTTCAGGAGGTAGCAGTGGAGCCAGAGCAGCGGGCAAGAGGCCCGCAGAGTGAGCAGTGGAGTGCTTCATATTTTGCATTTTCTTGGCCGTGTGGCCTAGGCTAGACTTAGGGCATGAACATCTCATATGTATGTGGGATGAGCTTCATTAGCATATTTGTTCATGCCATTTTGCCTAAGTCTAGTAGTTATGTATTTGGTTATGTTGTCATTTGAATTTAAGTTGTAATATTGGAAGAATGTAAGTTGAAGTTTAAGTTTCAAGTTGTAAGATGTAAAGCAATATTGTAATCGTATTGATGCATGACTATTTATGATGGAAGGGCCTTAGGCCTATTTTAGGGTATGATTACATGTATGATGAAAATATGCATGAAAAAGGTATTAGTGATTGCAACTACTTAAGGATGATTAATATGAACTATATGCCTAATAACTATAAACTGGATTGGGTTGTAAGTGCCCCAAGGCGTTATTGGTCCTTGTGTGTGCCACCCATTGGATTATTACTGTATTATCATGTGATTATTAGGTACATTTGAGGTTTAAATGATTTTTACAAATTTGGGATTATTGAAAAAACAAAGGAAACTCTGGCGAATTTTCTGTAGAATTGGTAGATTTTAGGCAAACTTTGGGAGAGCATATCTCCTTCCATAGAGGTCCAATAGGGACATGCCATACGCCATTTTGAAGGTTGAGATGTCCTCTACCTTGTGACAAAATTTGAGGAAAATCTGGGTTGATCTTCGGCCTGAAAAAAATGGAGAAACACGGACTGCTCATGTGCCACTGCACCTGAGGCAGATTCTGGACCGGATTTGGGAAATTAATTTCCGCTTCGTTTCTCAGTCAAATTAAGCGTGTGATATATCAAAATGAAGTTTGAGATGTCTAGTTTGTAGGATAAAAATTTGAGAGCAAATGGATGAGTGTATTGAGTGCAGAAATTCGAGTAATGTGTGTGGTTTGGGGCTGTTTTTGGGGTTGTTTGGCTATTTGCTTATCCAACTTCTAACGTCGATAACCGGAGCAAATGAGCTCCGAATTGAGCGTATGATAGCTTGTTGAAAAGGGAATTAAGTAAGACAAAGATATAATCTGAGAAGAGAGTTTGGCTACGAACGGTGTGGTCGCAGAAAAATTAAGGGTGAAACATGTCCGAATTGGTAAAAACGTAAAGATTGGAAATTGGCTAAGTGGGTTTATGGGAACCCCTTAGTAACTTATGATAAGTAATGTAAGTTATAAAAATAGTTTAAATAAGTCTTCCGCAAGAGTTTACGGTTACGGTCACAGCTTTTAATTATTACGCTTTTTATGTGTTAAATGCTCGCGTAATAATCGGAAAAAGTTTATTCGCATTTTTATAAATGAATTGCTGTGATTGTAACTGCGCTTAATATCATAATTAATGTTAACAATACCGGTGTACAACGGGCTGTTACACATCTCTTTACCTGTAATTTTGATTTTGTCTATATCTTCATCATATCGCTTTATCACGTTTGCATTATTTTGTTTCATATATCTTCATTTTTATTTGCCTTGTTATTTATCACGCTTTTTGCACAAATCCCATAAAATATGTATTCTCAGAAAATAAATAAATAAAGATTAATATTATTTTCACATAATAGTAAATTAGACCAACTCATAATGAACAAGTATTTAATCAAATGAAATACATTCCCGGAAGAGTACATATTTGAAACTTCATAGCGTTATATTCCTGAAAAATGTAACATTACAATCAAAACCAATATTATTTTATTTTTCATTGCAATTATATAAATTAATAACAAGGACACGATATGCCTCATTTGTTGTAACAACATATGCATCTTCACGTGTAGCTTGAGTTCAGATTCTCCTATATAGTGAAATTAAAATCTTATGCTTGAGAAAATTATTAGAAATAATGAAAATAAGCCATGGGATGAAGGGTTACATATAAATAACATAACTTCTCAGACCATAGGATAAAGGGTTACACAGAAATCATGTGTAAGATATTTCCCTTTACATGTCGTCATGCATAAGATATTTCCATTTCTTTGTCATCATGCAACAACGAATTATATTTTAAATCCATCATTCAATAATAATGAGGGATGTGAAGGGAAATCTTACACCATTTTTGTAACAGGCCTTACCATACACAAAGGCGATGAGGGATGTGAAGGGAAATCTTACTTTGCAAGAAAAAATTATGATACCAATCAGTTCAAGACACTCCAAAACACATGAAATAGATAAAAGTTAGACGTGCTTACCTTTGAAAAATCTTCCCTTTCAACATACCAAAAATAATAGAATACGTGTCCTCCACGCAATATTCTTTCCTAATAAATGAAAGAGAGCATAGACAAAGTAAATGATAGATATTCTAATAAATAAAATTCTAACTGATCCTCTAACCTACTCACTAACAAAACAAAAAGTGGAGTGCATCTAGACGCACATCTACATTTAATACAATTATTGATAATATTTGTTATTCCTTAAAGATATTAAATTTTTTGAGAAATTACAAATATTAAATACGAAGAAGAAAACTAATTTAAAATATAAAATTATACCTAAACACAACATGTCTTTGTCTCACCAATTGTGTAGCAGTCTCCTACTCCACGTCTATTTATGTCTCTCCCTTTTTCTTCAAAGCGTAAGCTCTTTTCTTTAGTTATATTTAACAATGTCATTTTTTATTCTTGAAAGTAGGGTTGTCCTTGTTCGAGAGCATCCACGCCACTGCTTAATTAATACTTGTTATTAATACACTTGTAAGAAATAATTTTTATAAAAATATTATAATACTAAATTCTACCTCAATCTAAATTTGTATATCTTACGTAGCTTTACTTTTGTTCCAATTCTAACTAACCTAAAATAAAAAAGGAGATAAATTAATAAAAGGTTGGAAGTAATAATACCTCAAGATAAATTTGCATATCTTTACCTGTAATTTTGATTGTGCTTTTGCAGCCAAAGGATAACCTGGTCTTGCAATATTTTGTCAATATCTTCATCATATCGCTTTATCACGTTTGCAGGCATATCTTCTAGTTTGATTTAATTTTTCAGCTCATTTTTATTTGCCTTGTTATTTATGTCAATACATGCTTTGAATACATCGCCGTCAGGCACCAAATCCCATAAAATATGTATTCTCAGAAATAAATAAATATAGATTAATATTATTTTCACATAATAGTAAATTAGACCAACTCATAATGCACAATTATTTAATCAAATGAAATACATTCCCGGAAGCGTACATATTTGAAACTTCATAGCGTTATATTCCTGAAAAATGTAACATTACAGTCAAAACCACCATTATTTTATTTTTCATTGCAATTATTTAAATTAATAACAAGGACAAGATATGCCTCATTTGTTGTAACAACATATGCGTCTTCACGTGTACCTTGAGTTCAGATTCTCCTATATAGTGAAATTAAAATCTTATGCTTGTGAAAATTATTAGAAATAATGAAAATAAGCCATGGGATGAAGGGTTACATATAAATAACATAACTTCTCAGACCATAGGATAAAGGGTTACACAGAAATCATGTGTAAGATATTTCCCTTTACATGTCTTCATGCATAAGATATTTCCATTTCTTTGTCATCATGCAACAACGAATTATATTCTAAATCCATCATTCAATAATAACTCTCCTTCCTTGGCGTCATGCGTGAGATATTCCCATAAAAATGATACAATACGAAAAATTTACACCATTTTTGTAACAGGCCTTACCATACACAAAGGCGATGAGGGATGTGAAGGGAAATCTTACTTTGTAAGAAGAAATTATGATACCAATCAGTTCAAGACACTCCAAAACACATGAAATACATAAAAGTTAGACGTGCTTACCTTTGAAAAATCTTCCCTTTCAACATACCAAAAATAATAGAATACGTGTCCTCCACGCAATATTCTTTCCTAATAAATGAAAGAGAGCATAGACAAAGTAAATGATAGATATTCTAATATATTAAAATTCTAACTGATCCTCTAACCTACTCACTAACAAAACAAAAAGTGGAGTGCATCTAGACGCACATCTACATTTAATACAATTATTGACAATATATGTTATTCCTTAAAGATATTAAATTTTTTGAGAAATTACAAATATTAAATACGAAGAAGAAAACTAATTTAAAATATAAAATTATACCTGAACACAACAGGTCTCTGTCTCACAAATTCTTTAGACATCTGCTACTACACGTCCATTTATGTCTCTACCTTTTACTTCTACGC